GAGGAGACTTCGGCCGATTGTCTGATGCCGAATTGGAGCATGCCTGGGAAAACATCAGGAATTTAAAAATCATTGGTGTCAATTAGAAGAAAGGCCAACATTGTTGGGACTATCTAGACTCTATCTGAGATTTGTTATTGCTCTTATCCAACTTCCAAATCTCCATATAGTCGCCGATAGGAGTTCATCTTCAGCATCTTCATCGATTGGGGTGTAAGAGGCGAAGGCTCTATTAGCTTGCCAGCCCAAAGGTCAACCTCACCTGCTCGAGGCTCTGATGAGCGAACGACTGCCGGTATAAGCAGTCCCCCACATTCTGGCCAACAGCTTCGGGAGGAAGAGTCACAAAGTAAGGGAGCTATTTTGCCTTTGGCCAGGGAAATTAACCCAAACGGCGGAAGAATGCCAAAATACACCAGTTAACATAAACCGTAATTTTTCTGCCCCATTTTCAAAGAATTCACTCTGCAACTTTCCCAGGAGTCATCACTCAAATGTTTTCAATTCAATTTTACTCGATTTCAAATTGCTTACCAGTTAAAATCAAGCTCTGCGCAATCACAAGCCCCACATTTCCACTGACGGTGTCCTCGCTTTGGAAAATCAGGAACTGGAAAGTCACCAGACCAAGAAAAACCGTACTGATCACATCCAGGTAGAAGCCCAGAGCCTCGCTGGTCTGCAGCAGCAAGCACCACGTAGAAGTATGTTGGTCCTAAACCATCAAATTATCCAGACCAGATCCAGAATCGATCCCACCACCACTCACCTGCAACGTATCGAATTCTTGGGCAACCATTCCCTGAGCTCGGAACGCTCTGATGCTGGACAACCCATAAAGACTGGCAGTAACATGGGAAAAAACTGGCGCCCTGGTGGTTCCTTCGAGCCTTTTGATGTCCTGTGCGGAAGATAGGTAGACCTTACGAGACCAGAGGAACAAATACCCCAACACAATCGCCGGGATGATCATCCAGGTGCTGACGATGAAGACCTGAAACGTTCCAGCTGAATAATACCGACCAAAACTGACCAGAGGACTTACCATGGCCAAAATACCCGACATGACCAAGAAAATCTGCAAAGCGTCCAAAGTCACTCGCGGTAAGAGCTCGTCTACAGCTCCCATATCTTTGGAGAATCTGTTGAGGATTCTTCCGGAAGGATTGGCGTCGAAAAAGGACATCGGCGCTTTGAGGACGCTGGCAAACATTTTCTTGTGCAGGTTTTTTGAGGCGTTCATGCACACCTTGTAAAACGCTATCGAGCTGGAATTGGGCATGTCCTAACAAGGAAAGTGGGGTTTTGGCAAACTTACCGGGCGCTGGTAAGCACAACTGCCACCAGAATTAGCACCGTGTAGATTAGGATGTAGCTGTTCATGGAAAGCAACTCAGCTCCCTCAGGGGTTGCGGCAATACTCAGATTCCCACTAGTCCCTGCTGGGGGTAAGATAGTTGTGCTCGCGTTCGTTTCCTTTGAAGAATCGACGATGTTTGAAGAGTTCCTTGCTTGATTCTGCGCGTATCTCAGCTCTTCCTTGTTCGTCCTAGTTGAGTATCTCCAGTTAATTACTCCCAAGGAGTTGCGAGGCGACTTACCAATAAGTGACCCACAAATCCGACACATTGCACATGGCTTGGGAAATTATGAGCAAAACCGCTAAACCGACTAGGAGGAAGGCTGAAGCCCCCGCTTTGTAATATTCTATATAGGTTGAAGAGGGGATTGACCCCTTTTCGATTAACTCTTGCGATTCATCTGGCTCGGTCCCCACCATGCTCTAAAACATTTCGAATGAGTATTGGCTTACTTGGAGCACCACCACCACTTACAATCACAGAGGAAATTGATTGCAGTCGCTCTCGTTTACTGGGGATTTTAATGGCTTCCTCCTCTTTGGCCTCGTCTTTGGACTGCTGTTGCACTTCTTTGGAAATCTCCGAAATGTCCTTTTCTAATTCTTCAAAGGTTCCGGTTTTCTCTATTTTTCCCTATG